TAAACCTAACCCTTACCTTACATTGAAACGGCTTGCTTTCAAAACGCTTTTTAAAGCGCCCTTCTTTCTCCACGCTCGCTGTTGTCGCCCTGTTGATGACGTCAGCGACATGGTTTAATCGGGCGCGGCTTAGTCGAGCGCGGTTTTGTCGTGCCACATAAATTGATGATAGGACCCCGTTTAAGACCCTGTATGAGCTCTGAAATGTACAAAAAAATGGGATATCAGTGCAATCAATCAATTCCATGTTGATACATGCTCGGGTTTATGATGAACTTAGCATTAAGTGGTTCTCGCAATATCATGGGTTTAAAAGCCAGATCCCCAGCCTTGTGTCAAGTTCATAAAAATCCAATACTCTTGTTTTTGCAGCCTCCCTCTTCCTCAGCAAACTGGTTTTGGGATTATGCCATTGGATATTATCTGTTGGAGTTCCTTCTTTGGATCAGGTTAGTTTCTACATCTCTTCAAAACAAAAATTGCCTGGTGGATGGAAGGACTGCATTTGCCTGGTTCATATCTCATTGCTTCCAATGAGGTTTACTATACAGGTTAGCTTGAGGTGGGTTCTTGTAGTTGTCACTCATGAATGTATCCGCCCCTTCTCCAAGCCTTCAAAAATGAATTAAAATATATCAACCCGGGACAGTCTATTTGATATTCTGATTAATTTTTATTCCTGGAAGTCAAGGGATTTCATCCCACACTATGTATCAAGCAAGATTACTCACAGACAGACGCATGCAGAATCTCCTACTACTGTTGTAAATCTCCCTATTCATTCTAGTAGAGTGATAGCTGAACTTAGGCTGTCCTCTGGTGGGCAGAAGATGAAAGCACCTTTGTGAGGTGGAAAAAATTGGTGGAAAAAAGAAATTGCTCCACCCATAATGGATGGACTCAAAACACACCATTGGGAGACTTGAAAGAACAGATTAGGGATGGGTTGCAATGGAGAAAAATCTATGTGGTTGCCAGAAGTTGAAAACAACTTGATGGTACATAATCCATCCATCCATCCACTCATCATCCATAACTTGTTGAAAAGTAAATTCTCATTTGCATGGTGTTCAC